AAAATATGTAATGAAATAAATTTATTTCTCATAGTAAATTTATGTAGATTTTTTTTAGCCTGTTGTGTTAGACTTCAGAATGGAGAAGTGGTATAAGAACATGGAAAGAACACAAAATTAGTAGTCAAGAGACTGGGTTTAGCCTCAGTTCTGCTGTGAAATATGTAAGTGACCTGGATTAAGATATTTCTGTCTGTGCCCTCTATTTTCTCATATCAAAGGGTGTGATAGATAATTTCTAAGGTTCATTTTGGCTTTTAGTTTCTAGGTCTTTGAGATGAGGAAGGAAGACGAGCATCTTCCTTGGAACTGTAGAACTTCAGTGTGATCACCAGAAGGCATGGAATCGTATGGTTACAGAGACTGCTCATTTTCAGTTTCCCACTGACATAATTTTTATGCTCATATTTTCTTATTTGTTACCACAAGAGAGCAACATGAACTTGTAAATAAGTTGGACAATAGCAATTATCCCTGAAAATATTTTATTTTTCAAGTATACATTTAATTTTACATTTAACTGACATGACAACAATATTATAAAAAATAAAACACAGTCATCTCTCACTACTCTCATGCAAGTTTTATTTTGTGTAGTTATATTATTAATATTAAGGATAGGTAGGATTATGCCACTGCCTCAAATCTCATGGCCCCAGTATCAACAAATGCTTAAGTCTTGCTCACACTCCATTCTCCACATGGTCCAGAAAGGTGCTCTGCTCCATGCGGTCACTCAAGGACCCAGACAGACAGAGGCTCCATCATCTCGTGTTTGGATCATTTGGAGCATACGACCTCTTCAGTTGTGCTACAGGTAAAAGAGGAACTGGAAAATTGCATGTGGCATTTTTCCTTGTCTCTGCCTGCAAAGGATGTATGTTACTTCCCTCGTATTTTATTGGCCATAACTAGTTATATCTGTAAAGAGACTGGGAAATATAGGTGAGCAAATGGAACATATGAGAGTGATAATGTCTCTAACATATTTACTGTCCACATGTGTATAAATCATTTGTATAGATGCATCCATAATTTACATTATTATTATATCTCTATCACTATTTTCTCCTAAAATTACATAAAACATTTTTATATATTAAATATCTACGTGGTCTTCATAGTTACCATGTTTATCACTGCTTAGTAGTTCAAATCAGCAGCATTAATGGCTGTTCAATGTTCTATTATATTTACGTACCCTAGCTTATAAGTTTATTGGACACTTAAGTGGTAATCTATTATTATTTTTGACCATTACAACATATTGAATTGATGAAATAACATCCCTAAGATTAATTTCTAGTGCCATGAAGCTTTCCACTTTGGATAGTAGAAAGGAAGATAATGTCTCCACTCATATGCATAAATTAATTCTATGTTCCAAATTTTATTTGTTTTGGCATGATGTTTAGATATGGCAGCTCTCATTCGTTTGGACAAGAAAAATCCAAAGCACATAAACCCTAAATCTTATGTGCTTATTCTCACAAACTCTCTAATGTCCTGTTGGGGTTCATCCACCGTTTAAATTAGAGCTGAAATATATAGGGTCACACAACTAGTGATTTTAGGGTGGGAATTTAACTTGGCTTTGGGGACTGCAGGTAATAGTAACAGAGTCAGACATTTTTCCATTGAATCTGCTATTACAATAATCAGAACATTTTTATTCACCCAGTTAAAGACTTCCCCTGATTCATTGTATACATATAATGAAAGACCAAGAAAGAGAAGGAAAGTTTTAAACGGAAGCCTTAACTGGACAAGCTTGGCCTCACAGTTTTATTAGGGGGCACAATCACCCATTTTTGGAGAGATTTCTAACATCTTAATGATGTGAAGAGAGTCTTTGAGAACCTGGTTAATCACAGAAGCATATATTTCACTGGAAGGCTGATCCTTACCAGTTATTGAATGTCCTGAGCTGCCTTCAGAAAACGTTACTGTGGAGCGAGGACTGAACAGTATCAGTGAAATTTGTCGGGAATGATGGTTATCCAGGGCAGTATATGTATGATTGACTAACTTAGGCAAAAGTCAGGTAAGAAACTGGGAAGGCTTGCTCTTCTGGTTTTCGTTATGATGGACAAGGTATTCCACATTAACAGTCCTGATGACAATTACTAGGCCGTCCTAGTCATTAGTTAGATCATCTAGCAGTTTGTAGTTTTAGAGCTTCTAAGTTGATATTAGAGCTTCTAAATTTGACTTCTGTCTTTTATAGTCATACAATTACACATTCTGTGATGATATTTTTGGCTTTTGATTTATGCTGGATATTTTCACACCCCATTGCCCACGACATTTGCTTTTGTACTCGCTGATTGCTTTGCATAGGCCCCTCCAGGCCAACGCCAGCTGCCCAGGTTTTATAAACCGGACCTTTGCAATGTGAACTGAGCTGCACCAGGCAGGCAGGGACAGCAAGATGGTGTCACAGACCCAAGTCCTCTTGTTCCTGTTGCTCTGGGTCTCTGGTGAGGAATTTAAATGTCACAGTTTCTTCAGAGCAATATCTGTGTAGAAATAAAACAAATTTAAGATGTAGTGAGAAATAATGACTATTTCCAGTATGGCCTCAATTATGTGCTGACTTATAATACTATTAGAAAGCACATTTGAAATGACATATTTCAATGTATATATGACAAAGTTTGTGTCTATGTATGTATGATCATTTTCCATTCCTGATTACAGGTGCCTGTGGGGACATCGTGATGACCCAGTCCCTGAGGTCCCTGGCTGTGTCTCCAGGAGAGAGGGTCACCATCGACTGCAAGTCCAGCCAGAGTCTTTTATCCAACAATAAGAACTACTTAGCCTGGCACCAGCAGAAACCAGGACAGGCTCCTAAGCTGCTCATCTACTGGGCATCCACCCGGGCATCTGGGGTCCCCGACCGATTCAGTGGCAGTGGGTCTGGGACAGACTTCACTCTCACCATCAGCAGCGTACAGGCTGAAGACGTGGCCGTCTATTACTGTCAGCAGTATCACAGCACTCCTCCCACAGTGCGACAGACTCGAGCACAAACCTCCTCCCCGGCCACAGATCAGTGAATCTTTGCTGCAGCAGATGCTTCCTCGTCACACAGCCCTGCACACGCGTGCTTCTTCCATCTGCCTGCGAAGTCACTTCTCTTGATTTATTTCTTGGAGGGTTTGCAGGGACCAGGAGAGTATTAAGGGACTTGGCTTTTTCTGGATCCCTTTCTGTGGGACATTATTAAAGAAGAATATTGTAATGATCTCTTAGAGACTGTCAGGAGTTTCTGTGTCCAAAGAACCTGCATGTTTCACAGGGCCAGATCACATGACAGAGCCAGTAAGATTTATCGTTACCTTCTAGATGAGGGTCCAGTGAATTTTACACTCTGATGGATCAATTCTCTCTTCCATGTGCCTCCTTTGACTCTATAAACTTTCCATTTTTCTTCCTTATTCTTTTCGTCTTCTTTCTTTATCTGATATACTTCTTTATTCTTAAACATCTCAATATTTTAAGCCTTCAATCCCTCCTTTTCTTTGTATTGAGGGGAGGTCAACATAATCCCAAACTTCACTGATGGATTCTGATTAATGAAAATTAGTATGTGTAATTATGATTGTTCTTCCTGTTGTCCTGAGCTGCTCAATCAAACTGAAAGAATGTGCTTAAAATTTTTATTCCATGCTACCTGGAGAGGCATCTCTCTCCTGCTGGCAGCGCAGAAAGCTGCATGTCATCCCTGTTGCTGGCAGCCACTTTCCAATCGTGAAGGTGGCTGATAAGTGAGTAGACTCAGTATGACCAAGGAATGAGATGGAAAACTATTTGATATTACTTTATTCACTGACTCAACCAACCCTGAAACCCACCCTCTCTCCAATCCCCCTGCTAGTGGTACTGACAGCATCCCATATGCTACTTTGCATGTCCTTCTTATTTAGTAAGTAATCCGCATGGGGCAGTAGATTCTCGATAAATTGGTCTCCTTACTTCTTTTGCGTTATTGTACATTATCTCACTGGCATCAGCTGAGGCACGTGTTATCACGCATTACTCAGTTTTCGGAACACTGGAGCAGCTCTTGCCTGAGAGTGAAAGGTCAGGTCCGGCCACTTGAGCGAGCTGAGCCCACGCAGCCCTCACGATGTAACTATGCTGTGTGGGAGGATCACGGCAAGGGCCTCTCTCCCAGACAAACTGCTACAAGATGAGAGGTGTGACCTTCCCTTGCATCCTAACAGTTTTCACTCAGGAGTGCTCCTGTGGCTGACTCTGATGCAGGCGCTGTGGGAGAGAGGAATAATTGTTACAGAAGAGCCTCGCTGCCCAGCTGGCCTGGGGTGTGTGTTCAGGGCTGGGACCCTGTGGGGAGCTGGGAACGACTTTACAGAGACCAGGGAAGAGCAACATCTCCCCATTCCCTGTTTTCATGGCAGTGTAGGCAGTGGGTAGCCATCTGACCCTCTGCCCTCACACTGGTTTGAGACCGCTGAGCTGGAAGCCGATTGACAGGAATCCTGGATCCAGCCCTGATGGCTGCTGGTTCCAGTGTAAGTAGCCACTGGCTCTTCTGCTGTCTCTAGAGCAGAGGGTGACTGTCTCTCTTTAGAGGTCCGGCCAAAGATTTTGTTTATTGTGTGGAGATAGTATCCTGTGAAATTTAAAAATATATAAGAGAAAAACACATGGCCATAATCCCATGAATTACTCTTTTATATCTAACAAAAAATCAATTTCCTAGGTTACAATATTTTGAAAAATTGTTTAAAGGCTGATATGAATATGGTAAATAAAATACCTCACTAAGTGGTTTTCAGTGGATTCCTTGTATTCTTTTAACCTCCAACAAATATTTTTAAATGGAAATTAGTCTATTAATGTAATAGTCTAAAATAAATCCAGTATCAATTATTTCACTGTTTCCAGTGTCTTTGGGACACTGTCTCTTGCTGTGGGAGAACATGGAGTTCCTCAGCTTTAGCCTGCAGCAACATGAATTAACAGGAAGTGAAGGATGCTTGTTCTCCACTCTGAAGGGGCCGATGGCTCCTCTGCCTGTGAGGGCCTGGGCTGGACCCAGTGTTGGGTTCGGGACTGAGCAGATGGACAGACTCTGCCTCATCCACATGGAGGCAAGTTCACTGATTAGTTGAGGCTCTCAGCCTTCCATAGGTTCTAGGCTCGCCTCACCCCCATCCTTTCCAACTCCTGACAACGTGTATAGACCTGGTTTAAAGGACATTTGGTCAGGGGGCCATCGTCCCCTCCAGGCCACCCTGTTTCATCTTTTGTAAATCCACTGCTTTCTCTTTTTGAAAATGATCACAACTTGAAATGCACTATTATTTGTGATAATGTAGAATCTTAATTTTAAGGGATCAAAAATATTCCTAAAACGACTCATGTCCTTACAATAGAGGAACCCCAGCACCTAGCCTCCCCCACAAGCATCTCAGACAGAGCAGGAGAAGATTCAATGAAGCAGGTCACAAAATCCCCTGGGATATGCTAGAGCTACCCAAGGAAAGGTTTTGCTGCCCCACCTCCCACTGGCTAAGTAAGAGCAGGTGTCCTCTTTGAGCACCAACCCAGGCTTTTCTGAGCAGATTTGCATGTTGACTCATTAGACAACAGTCCAGGCTGCTCAGAGCATCCTTAAAGGCAGCTTGTCAGGGGCCCTGAGGAGCAGCCTCTAGTTCAGCTCTCAGAGATGGGGTCAGGGCTCCCCTTTTGTGGATCCTCCTGCTCTGGGTTCCAGGTGAGGGGGGTGCAGAGAAATGTTGGGCAAACTCATTGTGGCATCATTGCTTTCTGTGTCTCTGGGTTCTCAGTCACTGGGATGAAGGCACTCGTGGTGGGTTTAGGTTACCCAGTTACCTGTTGTTTTCTGGTTACTCACAGTGTTGCCCGTGACTGTGGTTACAAGTGTCACCAATGCACTGGGCCTGCATTGGGATGGTCTCAGTACCTCTGTTATGCTTTATTGTGTGTGTGTTTGTGTTTATTATTCCAGGCTCCTCTGGGGACATTGTGCTGACCCAGTCTCCAGCGTCCCTGGTGGTGTCTCCAGGGGAGAGGGCCACCATCTCCTGCAGGGCCAGCCAAAGTGTTAATGTGATGTTTGGCATTGTGAGCTCTATGAGCTGGTATCAGCAGAAACCAGGGCAAGCCCCTAAACTCCTGATCTATGGAGCATGCAGTCGAGGCTCTGGGGTCCGGTGGCAGTGGGTCCGGGACAGATTTCACCCTCACGATGCACCCTGTGGAGGCCGATGATGCTGCGAACTATTACTGTCAGCAGGGTAAGGAGTCTCCTCCCACGGTGCTGTGGGGCTAAACAGAAACCTGCACAGGCAGCTGCTCTCTGAGCTCAGCGCCCTCAGATGTGTCTCCTCACCCAGCATCTCAACCTGGTGTCCTCGGAAAGAGGAAATCCTTAAATGGCATGTTGCGTGTGTGTGTGTCGCACAAAACCAGCTTCATGATTTAATAATTTCCTTACTATGTCCAGGACCTCCCAGGAATTTTCTATGTCTCAGTGTATTTTTCTTAGATGTCAAAGTCCCTTGCCCTTTTAAGAGTTTTAAACTTGCAGGAAATTCTTTTCCACATATTTGAAAGAGAAAGTGCCCTGAACCACAAAGATATTTTTCAAACACAGGCTGATCTTCTCACCTTAATTTTTATTTTTTTACCACTCCTTTTCGTTTGAGCTCACACAAAAGCCTCTGTGCTTGTTTGGAAACTAAGAATTGTGAAGCAGTTATCTCTGTTGCTTTGGCTCAGATTCCTCTGTGTGTGTCCCTCCCAAAAGCCGGGGCCTTAGTTCTAGAGAGACGTACTTGTCCTTCTCTCCTCATGCAGTGCTCATGTCCTTCCATATTCCCTGCCAAGGTCTTCTCTCGTCTTCTCTTCTCTTTTTCTTTCTCTAATTGCTCTGGCTGTGCAGGCAGAGTGGACTCCAGAAGCCTGAGTGTGCGCAGCCAGCATCACAGAGGTTTAGTTCCTCCTCCTCCGTCCCCACCTTGGTCCCCCTTGGGCTTCTGCATCCCCCAGAGGAGCAGGAAACGCTGACGAAATGGTCCTGGGTTATGCTTCACACAGGCAGGAGCACATCGGTTTCCAAGCTGACAACCCTATCTCACCTCACATGAAATTTTATTGTCGTATTAGATTCCTATTGCTCCACAACAAGTTAACACAAACTCAGTGACTAACACACATTTACCTTCCCACAGTTTGTCTGAGTCAGGAGTCTGGGCACGGGTTAGCTGCGTCCTCTCCTCTGGGTTTGCAGGCTGCAAAGTATAGTCCAGGCTGTGTTCTCGCCTGGAGGCTTGAATAATTTGTTTTTCAAGGTCACTAAGGGTGTTGGTGGATTATTTTCTTTGAGGCTGTGTGACTGAGGATGCCAGATTTTTGCCGACTGTGGGCTGAGGCCACCCTAAATTCCTAGAGGCCACTGGAAGCTCCCTACCTCGTGGGCTGCTTAGTAATCAAAGCAGCGAGGAGACTCTCTCCACAGGAGGGTGGGCTCAGTTTCTCTTTTAGGGGCTTTCAGGTGATTAAGTTAGATCCACTCAGAATAATCATTTTTCTGATTCACTTGAAATCAACTGATTTGGGTTCCCAGTTACATCTTCCAAACCCCTCCACCTTTGCGATACTGTTCTTGGCTAGAAACAAGTCACAGGTTCTGCCCACACTCAGTTTGAGGGAATTACATGGGGAATGAGTACCGGGGGTAATTATCACAGGGCTACTCTAGGTTCTGTCTGCCACAACTGTTATACACTTAGGCTGTTTGCTTCTTTTCATTTTTCTCCCTCCCAAATGGCCTCTGTGCCAAGAATATTAAATATGAAAGCTTCCCTAGATAACAGTTTTTGGCCCGCATCAGAAAAATAGATCCTTCAGGATGGTGTTTTCATCCCAGCTCCTCATGCTTCTCCTGTTGTTTCTTAAGAGAAGAAATGACCAAGGTTTCCCTCTGTGTAATATTCAATTTGAAATAAATCAGTAAGCAAATGTCACAAATAGAGGCCTGTACTAGAAAAGAAAGAAGGTATATCTCAAATCAATGACCTAAGCTTCCACCTTAAGAACCAAACCCAAAGAAAATGAAAGGAAGGAAATGATAAAAGCTAGGATGGAAATCAATAAAATATAAAACAGAAAATCACTTAAACAAAATAAACACCCCAGAAACAGAACATTTTTCATATTGTGACTAAGATAGTCATTACTTTGATTGGTACTTACTTAAAATGAGTCTCTCTTCTAGCTCCTCAAAGGCCAGGGTCATTTTAAACCCTTCACATGGTAGAGTTCCAAATAAATTGTAGGGTAATGAATTGATAGCTAAGTGTCCTTCAGTTTCAGTGTCCTTCAAAATGGCTTATTGTGTCCCTGTCTTACTGCTGACTTCTTTTCTCTGGAGGTAACCACTGCCTGACTTTGTGAAAACTCATCCCTGAGGATATCTAGGCTCCAGATCACACACGGAGACGAAAGTTCCCCCATTACTTTGTGGGTTCAGAGGCTGTGTGAGGAGACCTCAATGCTCAGTTGAGCAGCTTCCAGAAAAGACAAGGCAGATCTGCAGAGGCTTAGGATTTTCTCATGGGCATTACATACAGGAATCCCTTCGCAGATTCTTATCACAAAGCAAATACACCTCACTCACTGCCCTGTAGAGCTTTCCTCGATAACTAGGTCAAATGAAGCCTGTCTGGAACGGAAAACATAGGTGATGCCCTAGGCCATGTGTTTATGCCACCTCAGAAAGAGCACTGAGGACCTCTCTCTCCTATGCCAACTTAACTTACACAAGTGGAGGGACCACATGGATTTATAAGCCAAGGACTTTCTAACCTACACCCTCGTGGTTTCCATATCTCTTCCCCAGAAACCACGACATGCTCAGAGTTGCTTTTAACAGATATTCTTATGAGAAGAGGTGTGTTTAGCTTGTGACAGGGCTCAGTCAACATAATGGATTTTCAGGCTCATATTTTCAGTTGCCTGATGCTCAGTGTCACGGGTAACAAAGAGAGGAAGCTCAAAACTCAGGATCGTGTTCACCTGGGAGTTTGAGACTAAGACAGATGTTTTCTTTTTACTGGTTTGAGTTTTATACTATATCTGTATATTGCATTGTATGAAGACATTCTGTATCTCTATTTCTGCTAACTAACATCTCTTTTCATTTTTCTTATTTGATCATTGAATCCAGTGGAGAAATTGTGCTGATCCAATCTCTGGTATCCATGGCTGTTTCTCAAGGAGAGAGAGTCACCATCACCTGAAGGGCCAGGTCAAATATAACACCAGCTATTTGCACTGATACCAACAGAAGCCAGGAGCCCTGTGCTAAGCAGTGTTCTGCAGTGAAACAGAGCTCATAGAGTATATACACATAGACACACACACACACACATACATGTAAATTATTTATTTATTATAAGTATTTGTTTCATGCAATTATGGATGCTGAGAAGTTGCATGATCTGCTCTCTACAAGCTGAAAACCCAGGAAAGCTGTTGGTGTAATTCAGTCTGAGTCCACAGTCTAAGAACCAGAAGAGCTGATAATGTAAATCCCAGTCTGATTGCAGGAAAAGATGAGATGAGATGTTCTTGCTCAGTCAGTGAGGCAGAAAAGAAGGGATGAATTCCTCATTTCTCCACCTTTTGTTCTATTCATGTCCTCAACAGATTGATTATACCCACCCACATTGGGGGAAGATATAACAATTATAAATATATAATTGCCTCAACATCAGAACCCCTAAATATGTAAAGCGAGTTTTAACAGATCTGAAGTGAGAAATTGACAGCAATACAATAATAGTAGGAGACTTCAATATCCCACTTTTAATAACCATTAGAATATACAAACAGAAAATCAGTTAAAAAAACAGCACACTTGAACAACACTATAGACAAAATTGACCTAACAGACATTTGCAGAACTTTCTACCTGACAGCAGCACCACATTCTTACCACTTCCATTCAACACAGTTCTGGAAGTCCTAGCCAGAGCAATTAGAAAAGAAAAAGAAATAAAAAGCATTCAAATCAAAAAGGAAGAAATAAAATCATCTCTCTTTGCAGATGACATATATGTAGAAAACACTAAAGACTCCACCAGGAAATTGTTCAAACTAATTAATGAGTTCAGTAAAGTTGCAGAATACAAAATCAACAAAAAAATCAATCATGTTGAAATAAGAGTGTGGTGTGAACATAGGGAAGCAAAAGAAGACAAGGAAGTATGTGACCATGAAGTGAATGCTTAGTCTCCGAGATCAGATGCTTAAAGAAAAGGGTAGATTAAAACTTAGAAAGAAAGATCCCAGCACACTAAAGGAAAGAGAAGTCTCCCAACACTCCTCCTGCTTATTATTCTTCCAATATAATACACAGCTGGGCCTACCTTACTATGCCTTGGTTGATTCCAACTTTATCTGCTTTTCCGTTAAAGCCAAACTGTATTTAGTGCAGTCAACGATGGACTGTCTGTGTGCCAAGTGTATTCCTTGTACAACTGACTGTGTAGTGGCTGAAACTGAGAAATAAGGGCAGAAGTATCGAGTGACCCTCAACATTGCCAATGATTCAAGAGTTGAACAGTAACCATGCACACACAAAAGAACCTATGCAGATGACTGCTTAGTACAGACAGTAACTCAGCACAAGTGTTACATTGTGGCCACAGTTGACCTAGACCTTAAAGGAAGAATCTGTAAAGTCCCTGGAGTTCCTATCATGAACCTTTCTTACCTTAGATACAGTATTGAACAGATGCCAGGTGAGGACTTTGTGTTTTATTTTTTATTTTTTTGTCCTCCATGGTATTCTTATGGTCTGAGGAAGCACCAGAAATTCAGGAGACAGTCAATAAATATTTGCTGTGTAAGAACTGAACTGGCACCTAGAGCGTCTCAGGAGTTACACTGGGAAGCAAGTGGAAAAGAGGATGATTATTCACATGTTCAGATTTGAGACCATGATAAATAAGACCAGACTATCCCGACCCTTATCTGCCTAATGGTCATCAGGGGAAAACCATGAGGGAAACTGTAGAACATATTATCAGGCTGTGAATGCTGGCAACCAGCCTCTCAAGCTGAACAGACTAAGAGTCTGACTTCCAACTTGGGGGTGCAGGTCATCAGGGGACAACCTGAGTGGACAATGGACTAACCCACAGAAGGCAGTGGGTCAGGATGAGTGAGCTCCACTGTGATTAGAGGCCAGCTCCTGCAAATTTGGGCCAAGCCCTTTGTGGAGTGAGTGGAGTGAGTGGAGTGCAGCCCTTCTCGGATGCAGTATATGCTCGCTTTATAGAGAAGCATCTATAATGAAAGCACTTGTGAAGTTAAGATCGGCATCCTCCTCAGGTGCCAGGTTAACCCTGCAATGAGCAACAGGCCGGCTCTTCTGCAGCACCCACAGCAGCAGCTGTGGCCAGAGCAGCTGGAGCAGATGCCAAAAGAGAAGTACTGTGGGATGACAATGGAGAGAAACACAGGAAGAGAAAAGCAGCTGTCTGGTCATGATGGCAGAATTGTGGGTTTCCTTTCATCATGTTTTCTGTCATGCCTATAATATATATATTTTTGAGCATTGTGTATTTTTGGACATGTAGAACAAATCTTAAAACTTTCTTCATGGTGACTCCCAGGTAGACCCATTAAAAGTAATGGTAGCTGCCTCAATCTGAATCTCTCCACATATACTCCAAGAATTATGCTGGTCACAATAAAAATAAATAAAACCACCTATTCATCATAACTATAAGACAGAGACACCACAAATGTCAAATCAGATATAGATATAAAAGTAACATCATTTCCAATAGCTAGAGCTGTGAGTCCTTGAGGAAATCCAGGGATGTCTGGAAAAACTGCACAGAGGAGACAACAGAGGATTGATCTCAAATCACATTCATAAAGAGTGTTACGGTTTAAATGGCTGTCCACTCCAAAACTCAGTGTGAAGGTTAATCCCCACTGTAACAGTATTAAGATGGTGGGAAATAGAACTATGCTATTTGAGAGGTGGGACCTTGGGGAGGTAATTTGGATCAGATAAGGTCATCGGGGTAGGGCATTGGTGGCTTTATAGGAGAAGAAAGAGAGATCTGAGTTAGCACACTTAGCTCCATCCCCACATGATGCCCTGAACCATCTTGGGACTCTGCAGAGAGTCCCCACCAGCAAGGAGGCCCTCAACAGATGTGCCCCCTCGACCTTGGACTTTCCAGCCTCCAGAACAGTTAGAAATAAATTGCTTTTCTTTATAAATAATCCAGTCTAGGTATTTGGTTATAGAAACAGAAAATGGACCAAGACAGAGAGCAAATCCACTTGTGACTGAAATAATAACATCAAAGAGTCCTAGTTTATCAGAGGAGTGACTCTAAGGAAGGGACTTTATCATGTTCACGGGATGAGAGGAGGCAACACTTGCATGGAAGAAGAACATGAAGGAGAGTTGGAGGATGAAGGGGGGAGGCACCCTTTAGAGTCTGGAAAGTGAAAAGAGAAAGAGGCAGAATAAGAAAATTTAATAGCTTGCAAGACAAAGAAAAGACGAAGAACACACCAACCCTACCCCTACAACTCTGTGGATGGACTAGGTAGTGGTGTTGTATATGCTAATTTTCTCTTTTTGACCATTGAATTGTTGTTATGTAAATTAATGATTCTTTTTTTTTTTTTTGAGATAGAGTCTCACTCTGTTGCCTGGGCTAGAATGCTGTGGCGTCGGCTTAGCTCACGGCAACCTCAAACTCCTGGGTTCAAGTGATCTTCCTGCCTCACCCTCCTGACTAGCTGGGACTATAGGCATGCACGACCATGCCCGGCTCATTTTTTCTATATATATATTTTTAGCTGTCCAGCTAATTTCTTTCTATATTTAGTAGAGATGGG